TATATATATATATAGAGAGAGAGAGAGAGAGAGAGAGAGAGAGAGAGAGAGATAAAGATATATATTAATCATGCACTGTGATGATCCATTCCGTTTTCGTTTTCGTCTAGCTTTACTTAAAATTGTGCCACCATAACATTCAACTCATGATGCACCCTTGGACATGCTCATGGGTCGCAATCTCACCAGAAGAGGGCATTCTGATTCTCCCTGACAAAGTTGCTTTGACATGCAGACGTTATTAACAAAAGCGTCACGCTGTATTTCAAACCGATCAAGAACGGCACCAAATGAAACATTTGGATAGAAAAGGTGGATATCTGGATATGTGACTATCCCGCGAGACAAGTCAGCGTTTGAAAGCGACTTGTGGATAACCTTCCCCTTACTTTCCTCTGTGCGCTATGCGCGGATCAGACTGAGCATCCTGTAGAACGGAGAAGCCGAGTTTTTCTTGGGAGAGGAATCTAACGGCTGTTTGACTCCTTTGGAAAATTACGCCGTTTTTTCTCCATCATGCCCACGTATTTGTGAAGATTTGTGACAGGAATTTTGCGGAATCTCTATGCGCATTAAAGACTGGCATGAATTACTTGGATGTAGCTTCGTTATCTTCTGCGGATACTGCAGTACTCTTTTTGGCTGTAACTTGAAAAAAGAGAGCGACTCCATAACCGCGAAGACATGGGCAGGGAGTTCTGAAACCGGATTTCCCCCTTTTAATCTGGAGTTGGTAGTAAATGACATTCGCCTCGGTACCTTTGTACGGTTATAGTGGCAGACCTACACCGGATAGCACATTCAGGTCCGGGAGAGTAAAGGGCAGGTGCGCTTTAGGTTCAGCGACTGCGCGGAGAGAAAGGACTAGTGGATTAGGACGGTACCTGTCTGTGAAGTGCGCGTCATGCGGACTCAGATGTCGCGCACCAAAAGCCATTAAAACCTGTGGGCAGGAGCTGACATATAAGCGGATATGGGTAAGTTCTGGTTATGTTACCATCTTTATGATAGGGTGGGTTGTTGCAAAATATACTCCAGTTATCTTCCTGTCACATAATACCCAACAAAATGCCTTGACTCTTCCGAGCAAAATCTGGTCTGAATCAGATGTACGCATCAAAAATGGTCGCTTTTCAATTGCACTATTGTGACATCTAATAATAGCTTGGGTATTTTTTTGTTAAGTGGTTCGGTAAGCTTGAGGAATGTGGCTGAAACCTCTGCTGTAGACTATTAATGGTAGAGCTGCAGTGTGTTTTTCCTCCATTTCCTGGTGGTGTGGTTTATTTGACAGTAAGATACTTATTTTGTAAGACTGCATGCTTAAAGATTTGGTCCAAAAATCACAAGCAAAGCAAATAAGCCTGTTTGTCTAAGTAAGGACCATCCCTTTTTCTCTTGACTAGTTAGAGTGCCTGGCTCAGTGACATGGACTGGAATGCTAATCTGCAAATGTTGGAAGCCAGTCAACTTTATAAAGCGTGGCCCTGCATAATCATTGATTGTTCTCCATCTGTACGCACGATATATTGTCCGGTTTCAACCCAGTATTAACGCCTCCACCAAACTCTTGAGGGTTGAAGGCACCGGTCGTGCAGGTTTTGCTTAGTAGACTGATTCTTATTCAATAAAGCTGTCGCATTCTGCACCTGCTATCAAGAGAGACTCTAAATGTAGCATAAAAATGTGCGTCCATGTATCACCTCTCTCTCTCTCTCT